CTTCCTAATGTGTGAAATTGCTCATGTGGTTCAAAAGCACTCCTCAAACAGCCAGCGCCGAGCTGCTGGTGTTCAACCGGAGACCAGATATCTGTGCAGAATGCAGGTTACCATGGTGAAACTGGATCTGCATCAGAGTTCAATTGCACATTCACACCGCCCAAAACCAACCGGAGTCGGATTAAAGCGGACCAAGCAGAGCTGGTGTGAATGCACAATCGAGCGTTGATACGGCTCAAAAAGGAAACTCTAGTCCCGGCCTCGGTCCCGGTTGAAGTGATCTCCTGTTTCGGTTTGAAAACATGCGTCTGAACACCAAGCAGACTGGAGGCCGTCAAAAAAAGCACCGCAGGGTAGGATGTGAACATCTTTACTCGGGGTTAGAGTTTTCCACAGGTTTTCAAGCAGCCATCGCAAAGGCCAAAACTTTGAGAGGAGTAAAAACTAGTTCTAGAGACGAAACATGACGTATCATGAAGTCCTGAAGAGGCCCAGTGTCACTGAGACCGAATGAGGCTTTAAAATGGGATTTACTTTATTTTGATATTTTGATGGAAAGCCTTCGTCAAGATTTACAATGAGCTGACGATATGAGCTACCGAGAGACTTAACTTCCCTTTGAGAAAAATAAAATATAGTATCAGATTTTTTGGTTTTATTTTTCTTGCTTTCCAGAGGTTCTATGCAGAGCTGCAAATAAGTGTGAGCTCTGAACAGAAGCTCTCACTGGGAGGCCCAGAGGGTTTTCTGTGGCTGGGCGGGGCGGCAGTAGGACTTGCTCATGGGCTGAGGGCACAGAGCAGCCAGAGTCTGCTCAGCTGAGAGCAATGTCTCACCCAGGTACCAGAATTTATTCATTAACAAAGACACACAGACATCAGAGGGTCAGAGATGAGGGTCCTGGTGCGGGCGAGGTGGGCAGTCTGCAAATACACCTCCCTGCAGCTGCCGCGGCTGGCCGCATCGTTTTCCCTCCGTAAATCAACCAAAAGGCCCTGTGAACAATGTGACTCACCGTCACAATCACCATGTTTGCCGTTCTGTTCTCTACAGCAGGAATATCTGGTGGAATATTCCTGGAAGCGAAGGGGAAGGGAGGGAACGTGAGGGAACGGCGGCACGAAGGCGGCGTTCTAGGTTCCAGACGCCGAATTCTGTTGCAAAAAACCACAAATGTTAACATTCTGCAAAAACATCTCATTCCAAATCGTCCCATCCTGTCTTCTCCTGCTGTCCTCCACAGCTGGGTGCGATGCAGGGCATGCTCTGGATCGTGTGCTCAGGAAACACACTTCCAAGGGTGCAGAGGCAGCCAGTGAGCAAACGCTAACTGTCAATTACTGAAGGCCAACAGAGGCTGCAGGTGGAGGCGTACAGAGGAGAGCTGGGTCTTCAGGTCAACACAGGCTGTAGCTGTGAGGACTGGATGGTCGGCCGGGCGGGGCCCTGGATCCGGGACCCCGGGGCCAAGCAGGACCTGTTTACCACTCCAGGCTGAGCAAAGACCATGTGTACAGACAGGTGTGTGTGTGTGTGCGTGGGTGTGTGTGTGTGTGCATGGTTGTTTGTCCTGTTTGTCTCTCTGTGTTGCCCTGCAACAGACTGGCGAGCTGTGCAGGGTGACCCCGGAACGCCCGGAACGCAGCTGAAGAGGCACCAGCAACTCCCGACCCTATTAGGGTGAACAGATAATGAACGGATGGATGAACAACTGCCAAAGAGGCTACCAATGAAAATTAGCTTATTTTCACCAACTCAGGCACACCTGGTGTTATATGATGTTGATTAACCGGCCCCAGAAAAATAAATCAAACTCAAACTTCTTTATGTTTTTTTTTTTTTTCTTTGGGAACGCTCTATATTATCAGCATGGTTTCGGTATCGACCGCTATTAGTTGTAAAATTTTATATCGGACATCGGCCAATCCGTCAAAAATAAAAACAAAATGGTTTGTTTTTATGTGATAAACCAGCAACAGTGATGTCTGCCGCGCAGCACAACGTCAGAAGAAACTGTTAGGTATTAATGCTCAACCGATGTGCTCTTCACTTGTTGCTTGTGAGCAGGTTGAGTTAATTTTGTGAAAATGTACAAATGTGCACTGAGTGTGTTGTCGTCGTCTTAGAGAGCAGATCTCGTGATTAAATTTGACATTAAGCTTAATGCAAGTTGAAAGTGTTACATCATTTCCAGATTCCTTCTTAGCATTTGCATTTGCTAGCAGGCTAAACTGACAAAGACACTGCAGTATTTTAACTCAACAGCAGAGAAAGACATATAGTTTCAGAAAGCAAATATAGGAAAAAATATCAGTATTGGTATCGGTTATCGGCCAAATGAGTTTTAGTATCTTGGCATATCGGAAACAAATGAAAAATACAATATACTGCATATCTACTTTTTTAGCTTCTGGCTAAATAATTCAACTGTTTTTTTGTTTTTTTCATCATATTTTATCTAACAGATGAACAAAGAACACCACTGTACATTGTGGAAGCTCAAAGAGACAATTTGCCTGAGCGTGAATTGCGGTGGAGTGGATAAGTTCATGACGGGACCTTTGCTCCGCTCAGGAGGTTCCCTGCCAGCTGCAGGTCACATTTCTGTTTCATTACTGTTTGCCTGTGGCCCTGTGACCCTCAAGTCTTCATTTGCACCTTGGTGAGGACCACTCCATCACCGATCCAAGCCTCCGTCATCCTGGCACACAACCGTGCATCACACCCAGACACCATGAGGGCACAGCCAGGCCTCAGGCATGAGCTGAATCAACCAAATGACTGGAAATGACTGGAAACTCAAATCATTTTTGATTTCTCGTCTCTCCTCAGGTAGTTGGCTCCTAATCTCAAAAGACCTTTTTGTTGATTTATGAACACCTTAGACTCCAGTGGTTTAGATTATGTTGTCCAAATAAAAGTTTGGACAGTCTTCCAGCGGTAAGGCTGACCTGCATGTTACTGTTTCATTTCAGGCCCATGTACTGACGTTTTGGGTCCATGTTCTCCTCCATGCAGATCTGAGCGCGCTGGCCGTACGTCGCACCAGAATGCAGATTGTAACAAAAGGGTGCCAGTGATTGCGACGCACTGTCCAGCGGATTTCTGGAGCCGTACTCTTTCATTTCGGTCGCATGTCAGAGAAGTCGCGTCCACTTAGCGCGGCCGTGCTGCCGCCGTTATTTAAGGACAGTTCATAAAGTGGGGGCCAAAAGTTTGGGAAATGTGATTGAGGTTTTCACCATGACACGAAGGCCATGGGTTTTAAAATTAGAACAGGCGCTCGCTGCAGATCCCTTCAACAGATCCCATTTAATCAAACCTGCTCTTTTTGTTTGAACGTTGACCTCAGGAGGCTTTTCTACACCTACTGGTCCCAGTGCAAGGCCAGTGCTGGAACTGGGTCTGAGCTGGTTGTACAAAAACACAGAAAAGCACCAGTTTGGTTTTCCACAGGTGATTCTGCACTAGAGTCAGATCGTCTCTATCTCTATAGCTGCATTTACTTTATGAATGTGTCCAGAACTTTGTCGATATTCCACTGATGACAAGAACAAACCCCACAATTTTGCGATTGCTGTGTTGCTATTAAATGAGAAACCAAATGGAATCACACGTTAATAAGTTTGTTCACATGATAAGTAGAAAAATGTGCCAGGTCATCATCCTCCTGCCACTTCCTGTCGTCTTTGTCTTCGTGGCTTGTACCAGCAGCAACATCCGGTTGTTGATCATGCGACTTGTGTGACACGTAAAAAGTGATTCCATTGCATTTTTGTGAAATAAGCAAATTTTGACATGGCAAAAACGTCCACTTCATTTCTGGTACCAAAAACTTTTGACATAAAAATGAGTTGGTTTTTTTTTAAATTGCCACATTTCAGTTCAACAAATGTATTTTGGGAAATGTCAAATTATGCAGTGATGAAGCCAGTGGAAAAGAAGCTGCCGTCTTTCAGTGAATGTTTGATTTGTTTTATTTTTGAACTTTTGTAGAGAATCTTCTAATTTCAGTTGTGACATATGAACAATATATTTTGCACTATTTTAAGCCTCAGAGATACAAAAGTTTTGATGGTTCAGCTAAAAAAAAACTGTAAATAAATTGACCTGTTGGAATAGTAATCATATTTTTTAATAATTGATAGTTAATCTTGAAACAAAGACATGAAACTTGAACTTTATGTTGTTCCAGTTCCATGTTTTTTTTTGTTTTTTTTGTATTGTTATTAGTCTCTGATCTGCTGACTAATGTGATTCCTTGTCTTGGTCCAACAGTCACCGACACAAAACCAGGTTTAACCCGTCTTGTCTCTGCTGTCTGAGTTAACTGCCACTGGTTAAGTACAAACACTTGTTCAATAATATTTTTTTTGCTCTGGGTGAAAAAATTAAATAAAATACCACAACGCATCTGCATTTCAGCAGAAGAATAACTGCTATGTATGGTGAAGTCATATTTTGTTCATTATGAATAAGAAACACCAATTTTGTTATTGATGTTACAGCAAGTAGAAAAAAAACTGAAAGACAAAGTATCAGAGATTAAAACGTGAAAAAGAGCAAAACATCAAAAAGTACCAGAAGGACATGAAATACAAATCATGTCCTCTAACGATTCCAACTTTATATAGATGCAATTGAGCATTTATACATGAAATAAAATATATTTAACTGAACTGGAATTTATGCTGTGAGACAAAGTGGAAGTGTACGGAAACAACAGCTGCTTTGTTTTTGTCATGCAGCTTTGTTTCCTGTGCTGTCCTGGAATTGAGTGGAATAAACTTGAATTGAACTGTAGAGAAGGCAGATATTGCCAAACAGATTTCCTGGTTTTCACTCGATCAACGTCAACCTGAAATTAATAATCCACATCTCATTTCCATTAAAAACTGCATTTCTTTCACAGCCACTGGACTTTGTTGCATTTGATTCGACGTAAAAATAGTTCCCACAAAAGAAAAACAAAACAGACACATTCGAGGAAGAGGATGTTTTTTAATTTATTATTAAATGACATAAATAAAAACTTGCACCAAGTTCAAATAGAAATAAGAAAAGCGTATGTACAGGCGTGGGACTCGTTCTAGTCCAGCAATCTGAAGGCACTTGGAAACGTCGGTAAAGGGAAAATACAAATACACACATTAATTTACTCTATATACACACATGTACATTTCCCTGTTAGCGGAACTTTTTTAAAAATCTTTTTGGGTTAAGAACAAAAACAAAACATTAGAGAACGTGATGGGAAATCATTTGGAAGCCTAAGAGCAAGTTTGCATTCAAAACCCGAAGCGCAGATCTGATGAAGTGAGTTTGCTCCTTCCCAAAAGTAGCATTGCCTCACTTGGCAATGAGCTACAGATTGCACAAATGACCCAGTCTGTGCCTGCTATAAATCAATACACAGGCCAATACTGAACGGGTGCCAGAAGATCTCTTACTTCACTGAGAAGTCATGCCTAACACACAACTTGTTGGCTGTTAGAAAGCAGATTGTTGCACTCATTGCATCGTGAGTCTCCAATTAGTCTAAGCATAATGTACAACCATGATCTTGGTCTGAGTTGTGTCTTTTTCAACAAACTGACATAAATGATCCGTTTTCATTTTATTTTTTTCCCATGACCACCCTGGCAGGACATCCCTGTACTTTAGTCTGTACCACACCTCAAGGCCAGACGGGAAGCAAGGCCTCAATAGCTCTGAGCTACAGGCGCCCATGTCGCCGTGAGCCTGGCGATGGAGTTCTCGAACTGGGCGTCCCCGACTCCAACTTCGCTCAGGCTGGGCTCGTACATGGTGGACGGCGAGGAGACGGGTAGGGAGGAGGTCAAGCCCGTGTATGAGGAGCCCCTCAGGAACTGGGAGGTCAGACCTCCAGGTACAGAGCTGGAGGAGGAGCCCGAAGGGGTGAGTGTGGTGCCGGCTACCGACCAGAGGCTCGGGTACTGACTGTGGGCAAGATGAAAACGTAAGCTGACTGATGCAATCTCTTTAACTTCACTCGATCAAAGTGCAGACGACAGAACGCAACGTTAAAGAGTCTCACCCAGAATTAGACGTGGAGTTGGTGGTGTGAGACAGAGTGCCCATCCCTGTGGAGTTGGGAATCTGGAGGGCGGACCAGCTGTCGTGGGTCGGCAGAGTCCCAGAGTTGTTCTCCATGTAGTTGTCTGAAAAGGAAGTGAGGACAAGGAAGTGAAAGCAAACTCTCCCCTTTACATCCCAACAGCGTTTAATCACAACGCTCAGCAGAATTCCCTCTGCTGAGGGAATTCCAAGAAGATTGTACTTGTGCTGGCGCTCCGGTGGGGGTAGTGGCTGGGGTACGGAGCCGCCCTGTGGCTCCTCAGGCTGGAGTAGCGGTCGCAGTACGAGCCAGACGGGTGGCTAGCCGTGCTGCTGAACTGAGGCGGGCTGTTGTTGGGGCAGATGGGACTCTGGCCTGGGAGGAACCAACCTCCAACTGCAGAGGAAAGACCAGCACAAAGCCATCAATCTGTAGCTCAGATCATTAACATCTCGTTGACGTTCACTTTCAACTTTCTCGACATTTCGAGGACGTTGAGAAACGTACGTTGAGAATAACCGGACTGCTGGCCGTCTGTACTGTGGTCAGACACGTCTTTATGGTCACTCCTAAAATGGAAACACACCTTTAGATCGCCAAACATGACATCTATTGATAATACTATGTACAGACATCTATGGATAATATGAAAGACAAAGACTGATATAAAACTGTTTTTTTAATTCATGTGTGCTAAACCATATTAAAACAAAGCCTTCATGTATTTCATGTGTTTGGAGAATTAGTTTCCAGACCTGTTGCTCTGTCATGTAAGGTCAAGCACGCCGTACCTTTCTTTGGCATCCAGAAAAGCTTTAGCAAAGGGATTGTGTTTTATCTTTAGAGCAGTGATCTGTGGAAAAGAACAAAGATGTCAGAATACCTCGCAATACATGTCGTAGTTTTAGGACAGACGTTTTTGGGGGTTTTTTTGTGAATGGTTGTTGTCACAGCGGACCTCTTCGTTCTGGTAGGCGGTGACGGCGATGAACTGGGTTTCGGGGAACGACTGGCTGCTGATCATCTTCTGGATTCCTCCGACCTTCACGATGTGGATCCTCGGCTCGTACTTGTGCAGAGAGTTCAGCATGATCTGCGGAAACATCACAGTTACTCGTCTGAAGGATCTGCAAAGTTTTTAATCAACCTGACGCAAGGAAGCCAATGTCATGTAAAAGCAATCAAAAATTTTAAATAGTGTAGATTTAACCATTTTTTTTCGGGTATGGCAACGTCTTATTGATTACTTTAAGTCCTTGAAGACACACTGGATGAAGTTTCATTTCCTCTTTATTGTCTTTGGGGTAGTGGTTGTTGATGCTTCGACCTGACGGCTTGATTTGTAGTTTTTTGTTGTTTTTTTTTAAATATCACTTCTATTTGTTGAACTTAATGTGCAAAACTACATATCAAAGTTCTTAAACAAAAAATGAGAGCAAAAAACTGGTGCCGATTTTTAAGGCACAAATTCTCCATATGAGTCCAAGACTTTGGATCCTCACTGGGTAACACTTTTTAAATTATTATTATTATTATTATTATTACTTTGTGTCACCCCTGTAACAAATACATTGTAATGAAAGGTGTTTGGCTCACCTGTCCTCCGCCGTTCAGCTTGTTGGAGAGCTTCACCTTGCTGAAGGAGACGGGCGCCTTCATCCAATGCGCCCCGAAGTTGGGGGAATCCGGGTGGATGTAGACGCAGCTGGGGCTCTGCGGCTCCGGCTTGCCGCCGGGGACCCACTCCCCGTTCACGTACTTCCAGCGGTTATTGTCCGCCGCCACGAAGTCCAGCAGCACCGAGTACATGGCGTTCGGGTCTAGGCCGGACACGCTGACCCGCAGGACCGGAAACATCCTCCTGCGGGCCACAGGGTCAGACTCTCTGAATGTTACATGTTGTGCGGCGCCTGAAGACACAAGTCATGAAGAAAACAACGCTTGCATGCAGACTTGTCCCGTGCGGACCTACCTCCCGGTCTTGGTGACGATCATCTCGTTGGTCAGCTCTTTGAACTTGCTCCACAGCTCCGCGTCCTCCAGCGTCAGCTTGATGTCCCGCTCCGTCACGTCTCCCTTCTCGCTGCCCTTCTGGAACTCGCTCTCCACGGCGCTGAGCAGATGCTCCAGGCGCTGGTCGGGGCTGGAAGAGCTCATAGTCCCCAAGTCAGGTCGGATGAAGACTGTTTTTTAGAAGAATAAATAATAATAATAATATAAAAAAAAGATGATGAAGAAAAAAAAAACTAATCCCACGGGAAGAGATAATCCCGCCAACTCAGGCGCGAGCGCAACACCGGATTGGAAGCCCCCCGAGGCCCTGCTCATTTAAGGGCCCCCAGGGACCTCATGGGGGATGCGGGGGCGTGGTTTGGCTTCAGCGCACGCCTCGGATTTCTGACGGCCTCCTCGAGACTCCACCCGGTAAGAGCCCGGGGCCCGGGGCCCCTGGAATGAGAGATTCAGAGAAATGGATCCAGGTTGACTTGTTGAGGACAAAATGACGCTGTTTGTCTCACAGCCCGGTTGGCACGAAGCCCCGAGATCTGAGGTCATAGAGCAGATGTGTGTGTGTGTGTGTGTGTGTGTGTGTGTGTGTGTTGTGTGTGTGTGTGTGTGTGTGTGCAAAAACACAAAATCTTACCAAGTTTTTTTTTCTACTTTTAGCTGCAAAACTCTTCACGCTCTTAAAATAAGACTAAGATGACTTACAATAACGTTTCGGCAAAATATAAGAGCTGAATGATAAAACTACTGTTTTAAGTCAGTAGATCTTTAATTGTGATCATTGAGGAATTCTTTAATAATCACAATCAATTATCACAAAGAATTACTTTTAATTAGTTGCACTTTTTACTGACTCAGATCAAGCTTCTTCGTCTCATTAAAAAGTTACTTGTTCATAAGTTTGTCTTATTTTTGGTTTCTCAAGATATTTGTACTAAAAAAATAAAATAAAATAAATACTTGACAAGAATTTGTGTTTTTGCTGCTAATTTCAGTAAATAAGCACGAGATCCAGCATGTTTGTCGGATTACAAGTACCTTCTATGACTAATAAGAAATAATGTTTTTATTCAGCCCAAAATTATACATTTCTGTATATATATTTTATTGGTCTGATAATATTTAAAATATGTTATTAGCAATAAGTGATAAATGTTCAGAACAGACAGAAAAAAGCCTGAAAACATCAATAGATTCATGTGTTTCATGAGTTACTGAAAAAATGTGACCTTTTAGTAAAATCCTGACATATTGAATACAGTCATATATTTGTAATATCATTTGAGATTGAATACATTTTCAAAATGAAACGACATAAATATTTGTTTCTGTCACTGCTTTGATCTCCACATCCGTTAAAGTTTTCCCTCTTTAGGTTTTTTGGTTGCATCTGCTGATATATTTACTGATTCTGATATTTTTCCAGTCCTGGTCATTGCGTTTGTGTTGACAAAAAAAATAACACAAAGTGATCATATAAATATGTTTTCATCACTGATGATCACAGCACCTCCTGCAAGTAACATTTCAAACCAACAATAATCTTTTACTAACATTTCCAGTCAGGTTTTATTGTAAAAGTTTTGCCTTCATTATTTATATTGTGCTAATCGTCCATTTATTGATTTACTCGACTTCTTTTCTGTTTTCTCATGTTGCTCTGTCATCTGCATTTCGATCAAGTGAAGTTAAACTTCTCCAGTTTGGAGTTTTTCATGGATTCCTCTCCATATGTGGAGTTTTTTGGGGTCTGATCCCCATTTCGCTCTCAGCTTTCTGCTTTTTGAAAACTGGACAGAAAACTAATTTTAAAAAAATATCAAGATTTTCACATTAAAATACAACAAGAAAGTCTGAAGGAGGAGAAAAATAACCAGACGGATTTAAACATTCTAAACTTACTTTTATTTATTTTTATAACTTTCAACAAAATCTTGTAACTAAGTGTTACTTAGTTACACTTTTACTTGACTTATTGTTACTCATCTGCTGCAACAGAATAAACCTATTACTTACATGATAAGAAGATGCTTCAGATTCTTTAATGGCGTTAAAACTCCCTCCAGCCTGAATGTGTGGATTTGTCTGCAGTCCAGAGGAACGTTTTCCTCTCTGTCAGTGTCAGGCGCCTCACTCCGACTCTAACCCTACCTCAACCCTAACCCTAACCTTCTAATGAGAACAGTGAAAGATTCAGAGGGTTTTATGAACCGCCTGTATGAAGAAACAGAAAGAGAACAAAACAAATCTGCTCTTTTTTGTTTGTTTTTAGCAAACACACAGAAAACAAAGCTACTTTCAGGCCTTTTTGTGAGGTTTTCAGTTAAAAAAACATGAGATTTAAGGCCATTCGGTTATGGCCTTAAACTCCTAAAGTGGTCCCAATGTCCTCCAATTTTTGGCCGATTTTCTTTGGAATGAGTTTGCAGTTGCAGGTTTTGTGTGAGTGAATCTGGGGTTTCTGGCTGAAAAGCCGCGTCGGGCTCCTGCTCCTGATGGCTTGCAGGCTGAAAGGTGTTCCTGCAAACAAAGGAAGGGAAGGAAGAGAGGCCTGTGCCTTTGAACTCAGCTGCATGTTTGTAAATTGTGCTAATCTTTTGTTGCGTCAAATCCACATGAGAGGATTTGTGTTTGCAGAGCGAGGGCCATTAGGGCGGCCCCCGTGTTCCCGTCGCGTGGAGGTGTGGAGGGCCCCGGCGGTGAGGCCCTGGGTCTGCATCAGGGGCCTTCGCAGTCACCAAAACGCTCAAAAAAAAAAAAAAATCACCAAAGCTGCTGTCCGCATTGGAGTCAGAGCTGAAACGATTAATCGGATTCATCATGTTTAATCGATTATTAAAATGATCTTCACCTAATTTAAGGATCATTCAATTGAATACAGAGTCAAAAAAAAAATTCTGCAACAACAAATAAAAAAAAGAGAGAAGGAAATCTCCTATTAAGCACCTTTTGCTGTCCAGCTGTTAATCGGTTCGTCCATAAAACAATCAGCAGATCGGACCTTCAGCGTATTGATCAGTCCAGAAGAACTGAGCTCCTCACATGTTGATTTCTTTAGCTGCAGATCCTTTGCTTCAAATAAAAAATAATGCTTTCACTGCATTTCAGGCAATAAAATGTTTATTTTCTTATTTCAAAAGGAATTCAATTATTATTTATGATATTGCACAAGAAAGCTTATGTGGTTAAATGAATGTGACAAGGTTTTTATCCGATTAATCGATTAGTCGTCAGAATAATCGATAGAAAAATACCAATCCATTCATCCTGTTATGTTTATATAAATCAATGATTCCCATCAAATCCCTGCCTGTTTGTATTTGTTATGTTTTTGACAGCCAATAGCGATAATGGAAGATGCCTTAGCCCCGCCTCTAAAATTTACATACGTCAGAAACGCCCCCAAGAGATGACGCCCTGAAATGAAATGAAATGAAATGAAATGTTTCAGTTCTTGTGTCACATTGATAACAAAGTTCCTCCCAATAAACCTAATAAATAAGAAACATTTTTGTTTCTTATTTCTTAAAGTTCAATGTTTCATTCCTTAAAGCTTAAAAGTTAATTAATTTTGAAAGATTACCACAATCCCAAGTGAGGAATTACACTTGTAACAGATGAAGATATAAATGATAATAATAATAATAAAAAGTTAGCAATTTACAGATAAAATATTTTTATCAATATAATTTTTATGTTCTTCCACTAACAGGTAAAATATTATATATATATATATATATATATATATATATATATATATATATATATATATATATATATATATATATATATATATATATATATATATATATATATATATATTGTGGGGTTTAGTTTTATTTCCTCAACTCTTTTGCTTTTTATTTCTTTCTTATTTTGTTCTTTTTTTAGCTCACTTGCACTTAATATATTTAGAGGTCTTTTACAGCTGTTTATTGTGTGGGAACCTCAGGGGAAGCAGGAGTGCAATGGACTCTGTGATATTGTTGGAAAAACCTGAATCAGTTTCCCTCCGAATTCATCACAACGCTTTTCCTTTTTATCTGAAGCTTTTGTAAAGTCAGCTGGCATTTTTTCTTACTTTTATTTTCTTGTATTATGAGTTCTTCATTGTTTTCTAAGTTTTCATTTCAAACTTTGTACAAGCTTATAAAACATCTGCATTTTTGTGTGTGTGTGTGTGTGTGTTTGTGTGTGTGTGTGTGTGTGTGTGTGTGTGTGTGTGTGTGTGTGTGTGTGTGTGTGTGGTGTGTGTGTGTGTGTGTGTGTGTGTGTGTGTGTGTGTGTGGGTTAGCTGCCTTTGCTAATAAAGATTGATTAATGAACTATGGTGAATTTCTGCCTTATATTTTCCCATCAGCTCTAAACATGTTAGCTTAGATGTGTTACTTCAAGTTATAAATAAGAAGTAGGAAGACATCTCTGTGGTATATATGTATTTATAGTCTTGACTGTATTGAAGAGCCATAACAGAACAAAATAGAACTTAAACAGTCAGCAAGTCACTCGCCTTTTGTTTTCAAAGTTTGTTCAATGTAATTTTATCAGTGTCTGAAACGACGGCAAGGAACTGTTACACGTGGATTATGACATTTAATATAACACTACATACAGCAATAGGCTCAGATCTCTGCATGGCCGTCAGTAAAATCAGCTGATGGTCAGTACATCCACACAGCCGATATGGTTTGATATCTGCTGTACTGAGTGTGATGCATCCCAGGTCGTCACCAGCTTTTACGGCGGTTTTGTTTCCTCTGAGGCTCCCGGGTTCCCATCACCTCCGCCTCGCCTGTCTGTGATGTACTTGGAATTGAGTGAGGGGCTCCGGAGCACGACTCCACTTTACTGCACCACTTCCTGTTCCACAGAGGCCGTAAATGTGAAGGGGTCCTCTCACACCTTGGCATCCCGTATCATTCAGCTGCCTCTTCCTTTTCATTTCCAGCGAGACACAGAGAGTGTTAAAGAAGCGGCTGCATAAAGAACGTGGCCCCCCAACCTGCCCCTCCCACGGCCCCCACAGACGCTCGAAAGGAAGCCGCCTCGCATCTTCAAATTAAGATCTGCTCTGGTTGGGGATGGGTTGAAGAACAAACAGTTTATATGCTGGTATATAAAGTCCTTTGGCTCCGACTCTGCAGAGTTACATTTACAATCAAGCATAACTCCAAGAGCAGTTTAGTGCAGGAGGCTGAAAAATACC